CTGTTCATGCAAATAGTCCGAACAAGAGCAGGTTAAAAAAAATACAAGTTACCTAAATGTAGCTATACATAAGGTCTGTCATTATCCTGCCCTGTCTATATGTGGAGCAGTCATTATCCTGCCATGTCTATATGTGGAGCAGTCATTATCCTGCCATATCCTGCCAGTCTATATGTGCTGGATCCTGCCATGTCATATGTTATGCCATGTTCTATGATGTGGAGCCTTATCCTGCCATGTCTATATGTGGGGCTGTCATTATCCTGCCATGTCTATATGTGGAGCAGTCATTATCCTGCCATGTCTATATGTGGGGCTGTCATTATCCTGCCATGTCTATATGTGGAGCAGTCATTATCCTGCCATGTCTATATGTGGGGCTGTCATTATCCTGCCATGTCTATATGTGGAGCAGTCATTATCCTGCCCTGTCTATATGTGGAGCAGTCATTATCCTGCCTTGTCTAAATGTGGAGCAGTCATTATCCTGCCATGTCTATATGTGGGGCTGTCATTATCCTGCCATGTCTATGTGTGGAGCAGTCATTATCCTGCCATGTCTATATGTGGGGCTGTCATTATCCTGCCATGTCTATATGTGAGGCTGTCATTATCCTGCCCTGTCTATATGTGGGGCTGTCACTATTATTTAATGTAAAATGCTTTGTCATCTTTGTTCTGTGGTCTTTTATCTCCAGTTGAAGCATAAGCTCTCAACAAACTCCCCTGTCTAATATGAAAGTTTTTTCTAGATCATCCATACAGAATAGTGCAACCAATCAACAAGGATGTCATGTAACTGTCTGCTGCCCCAGGATCATTTTTTTTTTTTTGGATCTGCTCCTGGTGGATTCACAGTTGAAAAGTGACTTTTTGAGACATTGGCTGTCAATCTTCCAGCCTGTTATTCTTGAGTCGAAATATTTAAAACAAAAGTTTCTATTTTTTTTTAAATAAAATGAAGAAAAAAAAAATACTACCTGCAAATCTAAAAGCAAATTTTAAAAAAAAGGGGGGGGGGGTGGGGGGGGGGGGGGGGGTGGTGGGGGGGGGGGGGGGGGGGGGGGGGGGGGGGGGGGGGGGGGGGGGGGGGGGGGGGGGGGGGGGGGGGGGGGAGGGGGGGGGAATACTTTTAAAAGATAATTATTTGAGAATGCATGTCTACAAACAAAACTAAAGTGTTGAGATATTTTACTAATGAAGATTTGCATTTAATGTTCAGTGTAATAGTAACTGAAATCTAAAACAGTTTTCTGCAAGACGTAAATTTAATTAAGAATGTTTAAAAAAAAAAGTAAAAGAACATAATTAAGAAATTGAACTCAGGTCATTGTAGAAAGTAAAAATAATTATTAGATTATTATGCCAAAGGCAGCTACTTATCTATATATATATATCTCATTCTTCTGTTTCTCTAGTCCTGTTTTGCCTTTCAGAGTCAGGTTTTAAAGATCTACCTTCCCCATGTGGGTTCTGGGGTCCCATTGTGGGGAAAACAAGTATAACCCTCAGCCTACCCAAATACATATTGTAAGAGTTGACAAACTAACAGTCTGCATATAAATAAGTCAGATTTGTAAAATGGATGTGCTCACAACACTCAGGTTTTGGAACAGGACTAGAGTCCAGAATTGAGCGCACAACCAAAAATTTCCACTGGAATTTAGGGCTGGTGAATGCGAAGAAGAAGAAGAAAAACAGACGTCTGGTGCGAGCCTTGGTGTGTGCTATGTAGAGCCCTTGGATATTCTATCTATCCATCCCTTGCGTGTATGACTTCTGGCTCTGCTTCCGTTATGTCTAAGTGACAGGTCTCTCTGTGTTGCACTACCTGGTGGTAGTCATGACACATGTCTGAACCATTTGATTTGTTAACTCTTGATGTAGTTTAGTACTGTTCGATCCCAGCTCGCTTTCTGACATCTTAACCCTACCAGACTGCTGTCTCAATTTTTCGGGAATTTATGATCTGCCGCTATACGGCTGAAGCTTATTATTGGCAATTTGCGTGGTACGTGAAAAAGATGCGTCACACACTAAAAATAACCAATCAATCATGGTCAAACCTTGAGGTTAGTAATTACAAATAGCTTCCCCCACATGTTTGGATTTACCTTGTGTGGTTTCAGGTGAAAACATTCTGGAAATTCACAATGAAACGAGCAGCTGATGAACCAAGCGCTTCGACAGGAAAGTGAAGTAGGTCTAGGCTTTTCACTGCCCAACAGGTGATCGATACTTTGCTTGATTCAGTTTCTGAGGAGTCATTATTTCATCAAGAATACGTTCCTAGTTCAAGTGACACACAAACTGTGAGAGCTCCAGTGATGAGGAGAATCTGAAACCTTACAGGTCTAGAACTAGATCAATAGTATGAGAAGGGGGCGTGTCGCTCAAACAGCAACATCTGCTGCTCACTTTGTGAAACAAGACCGACCCTGCTGGGTGGATTGGCACACAAAGGTGGAATATTGGCGCTTGAGAAAGGTAACCCTATTTTCTACAATGTCTCCAAGTTTCATCTTTTTCTAACCCCTTGTTTGCATGTAACTAATATTTGTGTATATCATGTTGGTTTTCCACATTAATGCCCAGGAGCTCAGGTATAGGGGCAGTTAGGTTTACGGCCTCAGATCTGGTAGGGTTAATTTATAACCATAAATACAATACCTTAAATGCATTTCTATGTCTGTAAATACAACTATTGGTTTTACTGCATGTCCAATCAGTGTAAAATTTATGAACATATAAGTAGATAGATGTGTCCCTTATCAATCAATCAATCAATCAGCTGCCATCTGCACAATCAAGGTTGGCTGCAATGGATCTCCAACATGCTCTGTCTCTTGTCCTGGTTGTACATTCTCTCAGACTGCTCATCCATCTCTTGATGTTGTCCTCCCACTTGCATCAGAGTCTACCTCTTGCCCATTGCTGTCTACCTCTGTATTTCTTTCCTTCATTTTCTTCCACCAGTATGGGTTTTTGCTTTAAACAAGAGTGTTATTTCTGTCAATGTGGCCTCAGGGGTTTCCCACCTGTTTATTTAGATGCCAAGATGGCAGACCACGAGTAAAGCTGTCAGCAACTGATCCTCTAAGGACACAATGTAGTGCAAACCCTGGCACCACCAGAATGCTGAGTGGGTATACCAGCGGTTAGGTCAAGCTAATCCTACAGCAGATAGGATAGCTGGGTAGTAGCCTTCATATACACTATGGTATGGCATATGATGTTGGGTGCTCAGTTCCTCCTGTCTATCTCACACAATTATCCTTTACTTGGGAATTTTAATACAGATAAAACTGAATGTGAAAAAACATAACTGATAATAATGCAATGTAATGAAGTGAATTTTGAACTGTGTTTCTATGACATATGTAAACTTGCTGCCTTTGTTTAATTTGCAACATGACAATCTTTTTCATAATTAAACTACAACAATGATCAACAATCATAAAAATATTCATCATTAAGTCATGCAACATAAACCTAATATATGCTGGTTTAAAAAAACAAAAAGCGTAAAAGCATTTTTCTACAAAACAAACATTTCTTGCTTTGATGGGGGTTGGGTGGTGTAGGTTGGTTTGATTCAGCACACAGACTGCAAGAAGTTTACAAACGGAACAAGTCTGAGATAGTTTGCCTGATCGTGGGGTGTATGACAGAATACCTATATTTCTCTGAAGTGCCAGAATCTAGGTCTGGAATTTACGATGTTCTCATTAAAGATACACAATACCAGGTGGGAGATGAACGATGAACAATCAAGCTGAGTATCTGTTAATAAAAAATTTCTGATTAGAAATCCTACATGCAAAATGAATATTTATAGCATGTGTGAATCTAGCAGACACACGCTTGGACCTCGCTGAAGAGCCGATGCCCTGTGCTGAGATTCTCCTTGTGAGATTGGGGGAGACAGATGGCTGTGGTTGTATCTGTGGGGCAGGTAGGTTTCTAAGAGGAAGCTACAGAGGGTGGCATGAGCCTGGCTACTTGATCCTACACAAAACTCTACTGGATGAAACCCAACAACCAATCATGAACAAATCTACACCAGGTTTGGCTTAGGGGTAAGATGAGAGACTGTTCTCCACTGAGAGACCACATTTAGAGAAGAAATGCAGCTCTGTGTGAATGTTTTTAGACAGCAGTTTTGAAATTGACCGGACAAAGCAGTCGGCAACAGGACATATTACTACTGGGTGACAACAGAAATCACATCTGCTACAGCCGGGATGTCCACAAATAATATTCAATCGGTAACTCTTCATATGACAGATGAAAACTGGTCAGAAATACTTGGCACTAGACCAAACATTGCAACTGTCTCCTAAGTTTTATGGTCAATATCTCGTTCTTCAGGACAAAAACAATAAAAATAAATAGGTTTGACAGGAAAGTCCATAAAGTCCATACACCAGACTATTACAATGGGAAAGGCAGACAACATATTTTTGTCTCCTCTTTTGCTGGGATTTCAGTTGACATTTGTAATCTTGTTATATATGAAAATGACATTTCACAGAAAGGTCATAATTTACAGTACAGTCACTGCTTTATGTCAACTTATGTCGGTCTTGTCCACTTGTCTTAAGTTGTGTCTGAATGTAGGTCTTCTTGGTCCTCTGTATGCATTAGCTAGGGATGTCTCTGTGTACTGTCTCACTTCTGGTTCTTGATCTCCTGTAAGCATTCACTGAAAAAGTCTGTGAGATGAGTCTTAGTGTAGGTTTTCCAGTCTTCTGTCTTGGTCCTCTTCATGCAGGCACTGCAGAAGTCAGCTAGTCCTGTCTCTGTGTGTACTGTTTCATGTCTTGTTCCTCTACATGCAGGCACTGCAGAAGTCAGCTAGTCCTGTCTCTGTGTGTACTGTTTCATGTCTTGTTCCTTTTCAAGAAATAATGTAAGCCATCTCTCTACTGGCATTATTCAATGTCCTTGTTGTGAACAATCACCATAAAGTCATGCAAATGTTGCATCTGTGTCTAGCTTCACGTTTTGCTCTTGCTCTTCTTGGCACACTCCCCGCGAAGTTCTACCAGTCTCCTCTCCATGTACTGCTTCATGTATGCATACTTGTACTTCAGGTCTATGACAGTCTCCTTCTCCTCCCGGTCCAGGACTCGCAGAAAGTTATTCAGCTCCGGTAAACTAAACGCATCCCACTGAGGACACAATGAAAACATTTCATGAATTACAGATATTCATTACAGAAACTGTCTTGACAACAAAGACATTCATGAACAGCTAACTTTTTCAGCTGCCTTCTATCCCTCAAAGAAGAATAAAACTTAGCCAAAGGTTTACAAGCCATCTGATTTCCCCCCCAAACCTTCTGCAGTGTACTCTATTTCCTCTCTATATCTATCACCCTCTATCCTGTGTTTCTTCTTTTTCTTCGCGCTAAGGAGGAAAAAAGCAGCAACTGATACAGCCAGATAAGGAGGAAAAAGCAGCTAGAGAGAAAGAAATACAGAGGAAAAAAGCAGCAAGGGATAAAGACAGATAAAATAAAGTAAAGATCCCTTTTCATGCCTTAGGCGCATCGGGCATATGGGAAGAGCATTCCATATTTTTACAGACCAAACAGCACTAGGTGGGTAATGTGGTCAGCATTACGCCGGCCATCTTCCCTTCCCCAGGACATACATCCTGGTACCCATTTTAGGCTGGGTCGACCTGCCACGCCCTATACCATGATACCAGACAGATAAGGAGGAAAAAAGCAGCGAAAGATGAAGAAGGGAAAAAGTGATAAAGGATAAAGATAGATAAGGAGTAAATAAAAGCAGCAAAGGATAAAGACAAATAAGGAGGGGAAAAGCAGCAAATGCTGAAGACAAATAAAAAGGAGATAAGTTGCAAAGGATGAAGAAAGATATGGAGGGAAAAGCAGCAAGAGGAAGAGATAGGGAGGAAAAAAGCAGCAAGAGGTAGAGATAGGGAGGAAAAAGCAACAAAGAATAAAGACAGATATGGAGAAAAAAGTAGCAAAAGATGAAGACAGATATGGAGGAAAAAAGTAGCAAGAGGATGAAGAAAGATATGGAGGAAACAAGTAGTAAAGGATGAAGAATGATATGGAGGAAAAAAGCAGCAAGGGGAAGAGATAAGGAGGAAAAAAGCAGCAAGGGGAAGAGATAAGGAGGAAAAAAGCAGCAAGGGGAAGAGATAAGGAGGAAAAAAGCAGCAAGGGGAAGAGATAAGGAGGAAAAAAGCAGCAAGGGGAAGAGATAAGGAGGAAAAAGCAGCAAAGAATGAAGACAGATATGGAGGAAAAAAGCAGCAAAGAATGAAGACAGATATGGAGGGGAAAAGCAGCAAAGAATGAAGACAGATATGGAGGGAAACACAGCAAAGAATGAAGACAGATATGGAGGGGAAAAGCAGCAAAGAATGAAGACAGATATGGAGGGAAACACAGCAAAGAATGAAGACAGATATGGAGGGGAAAAGCAGCAAAGAATGAAGACAGATATGGAGGGGAAAAGCAGCAAAGAATGAAGACAGATATGGAGGGAAACACAGCAAAGAATGAAGACAGATATGGAGGGGAAAAGCAGCAAAGAATGAAGACAGATATGGAGGAAAACACAGCAAAGAATGAAGACAGATATGGAGGGGAAAAGCAGCAAAGAATGAAGACAGATATGGAGGGAAAAAGCAGCAAAGAATGAAGACAGATTTGGAGGAAAAAAGTATCAAAGGATGAAGACAGATATGGAGGAAAACACAGCAAAAGGAAGAGATAGGGAGGACAAAAGCAGCAAAGGATAAAGACAGATAAGGAAGGAAAAAGCAGCAAAGGAAGAAGACAGATAAGGAGGAAAAAGCAGATAGAGAGGAAGAGATAGGGAGGAAAAAAGCAGCAAAGGATGAAGAGAGATAAGAATGAAAAAAGCAGCAAAGGATGAAGACAGATGAGGGAAAAAGCAGCAAAGGATGAAGAAAGATAAGGAGCAAAAAAGCAGGAAAGGTTGAAGAAAAAGGAGGAAAAAAGCAGCAAAGGTTGAAAAAAGATAAGGAGGAAAAAAGCAGCAAAGGATGAAGACAGATGAGGGAAAAAGCAGTAAAGGATGAAGACAGATAAGGAGCAAAAAAGCAGCAAAGGATGAAGACAGATAACTAACCACAATCTCCCCGGTCTCATTTTCCTGCAGCACCATCCGGTAGTTTTTGATTCTCTCGGGGTCCCAGGTGACCAGGCACCTCAGTGGGAAGTCTTTGTCTGTTAGCCTTCGGAGTCGAACTGTGAACAACAAGGCAGGAGTGTCAGGTAACGTGTCAGAATAATGTTAGACTATCCATCCTCATCAAATAACACCTCAGGAAAATGTTAGACTATCAATCCTCATTAAATAATATGTCAGGATAATGTTAGACTCACAAATAACACCTCAGGATATATCAGACTATCAATCCTCATCAAATACACCTCAGGATAATATCAGACTATCAATCCTCATCAAATACACCTCAGGATAATGTCAGACTATCAATCCTCATCAAATACACCTCAGGATAATGTCAGACAATAAATCCTCAAATAACATCTCAGGATAATGTTAAGACTATCAATCCTCTTCATATAACATCGCAGGATAATGTTAGACTGGTAATCTGGTAATCCTAGTTTCAGCTTCATAGCAAACGGGTCACCCCACAGATGCTCCGCTCCTGTGCCAACGAAAAACAAACGCAGCTCACAGTGTCACGCCATGCACTCAACTGTTAGACTATCAATCCTCATCAAATAACATCTCAGGATAATGTTAGACTACAAATCCTCAGAAAATAATATGATAGGATTATGTTAGACCATCAATCATCAACGTTATCCCATGCTGTGATTATTTAATATTTTATCCAGTTTATTATTTTATAACACTGAATCTAGTTCACTTGTTATGATATAACACTTTACCAGGTTTATTATACCAGAATACTATCTCCAGTAGGCTGTTAATCACATCTCCCACCGAGTGCCGAATGATCTATAACAGACAAGTCTAGCCCGACATGCCCAATATGCACAAAGGCTTGGGAAAAGGGTTCTTTACTTGATTTTCTTCATCATTAAAACAACCAGTTTGTTTAAATAGTACACCTACTCTGTGACAAAACCACAGATTTTTTTATGACATCATGATTTATTTGTTTTGTTACGGTAGAAATGTACCCAGTTTGTTATCATGCTTCGCTTAGTTTGTGACAATACAACATCCAGGATATTATAACTTTACATTTTAAATAAAGCGGACACAAACAATACATTGCACAATTGAATGCCTGGCATATTTTGCTGTATCTCGTCAGGTGCATCGCTACAGAGTTACATCAACATTTACTGAAGCCCCAAAACTGAACAAATTCAACTGAAACACACAAATGACGTCTTTCAATACAATCTGTTCGTCTAATCACCGGAAGTTCACGATAGTCACCTGACTATGGGAACATACTTTGTGAATATAACATTTACCTAGTCTGCTATAATATGACTCTTCCCAGTTATGACCAAAGGATTCTAGACCCAGTTTCTTGTATCCACCTTACCCAGTTTATTACGATCGCTGAATTCCTGTTCGTACATGGCAAACTTCCTTGGATGGTCTAGGATGTGAAACTTCTTCAGCAGCGAGGCAACGACTTCTTTGGTGGTGGTGTCACTGCAGGCGCAACAGACACAACAAGTCAACTTCTCATTATAGGGAACAATTTTATATGGAAGACAGGTGCAGGAGACAGATTCAGACACAGCAAATCAACTTCTTATTATAGGGAACAACTTTATGTTAGTGACAGGTGCAGGAGACAGGTTCAGCAGTACACAGGTTGAGCCGAACATGTGTTTGGAAGACACTTCAGCAGTACACAAGTTCAGGAGACTGATTTACCAATACACAGGTTCAGGAGACAGATTTATCAATACACAAGTTCAGGAGACAGATTTACCAATACACAGGTTAAGGAGACTGATTTATCAATTCACAGGTTCAGGAGACAAATTTATTATTACACAGGTTCAGGAGACAGATTTATCAATACACAGGTTCAGGAGACAGATTTATTAATACACAGGTTCAGGAGACAGATTTATCAATACACAGGTTTAGGAGACAGATTTATCAATACACAGGTTCAGGAGACAGATTTATCGATACACAGGTTCAGGAGACATATTTATCAATACACAGGTTCAGGAGACAGATTTATTAATACACAGGTTCAGGAGACAGATTTATCAACACAAAGGTTCAGGAGATAGATTTATCAATACACATGTTCAGGAGACAGATTTATCAATACACAGGTTCATCAGCATACAGTCAAGTAAAAATACAAGGCCAGTGGTTGAAGACACACAAGAGCAATATAATGGCAGAAATGTCACAACTAAAATCTGCATTAATCTTCTCACTTGCTGTTATATTAGTAATGTCCAGACTGGTCAGATTATTCTCTGATACTTTAAAAACAATGATTCTTACCAACAGACAAAAATAGCAAATCACATCTACTGAGATAGGCTGTTAACAAATTCACAGTGGCCTTCTGGATACTCAGTTAAGTGATTTTGTGTAGTTTTGTTTGACTTATGCATGTGCTGTTGAAGGCTCTATGGCTGCAATGTCCACATTTTGTTTGTGTTCAGATACCCTTACCTGGCTCACATAAAAGCCAAACCGACAGCGACAACCCACCTGGTGATATGCAGAGACTTGTGCGTGTCCCGAGGCATGTAGAATGCCACTTGCTGGGTGTTCTCCTCGACGATGTGCTCTCTCGTCAATAGTTCGTATATTGACGGAGGTCTGGCTCCTAGCTCCATTGTGATTGGTCGGACCAGGTTCATTGTGACTTTCAAGAAACCTTGGAATGATTCTTTCCCCGTCTGTACGAGAATTACAAACAAAAATGGTTACCGACTGACATTCTACATGCTCAACATGTTTGAACAATCAACTTGATACAACACTGATTCGGCTTAAATAATTAACTTCATGCATGCAGCAGAAAGAATAACAGTGGAACGTAAACTCTATGGACCACTAAATTAATTAACAACAACAGTGAAATTTATACAAGAGACAAAATTGCTGATATAGACAACTTATTTCAGGCGAACGAAAGAAGAAGAAGAAGAATGCATGCAGCTCGGGGAAATTGGTAACTGTGCAGAAAACAACTAAAATGGGCTGACAAAATTATCTGGCTAATGGGAAAATAACTGAAGAAAAGATGCTGTTAGTGGACAGGACACGCACTGAAAAAACAAAAGTTTTTTCTCGAGAATCCAGATGACAAAAGTAATACAGCGGCAACAAAGATTAGCGGATGAGTACCAGACAGATTTTACTGTCTATACATTTGTAGTCTCCAATGGTAGAAATTGAAAAAATTAAGTAACAAAGGAGTGGGTTCCAGGGCCTCATAGTGGGGGGGGGGGGGGGGGGGGGGGGGGGGGGGGGGGAACAAGAACAGACCCACTCTCCCCAACAAGCATGTTGACTAACTGGGGGCTTCCTTTGAAGTCACGAGTGCATCTACCTGTGGGGCAAGAGACCACCAGTCTGCATATAAGCCAGATCTGTAAAATGGATGTGCACGCAACATTCAGATTCTGGAACAAAGGTCCAGAGGAGGATGGACAACCACAACCTTCCTCGGGAGTTTGCAGTAGCTGAACTTGAAGAAAAAAGTAAGGAAATTACTCGCCAGAAAAAACAAACATTATATAAAACAGCTATTTACAAAACAAAACTGAATGGAACCCGCCTAGTCCTGTGATGTGCAATACAGAGATATTGTTCACTGCAATACTAGGTTAACAACACAACCATTCACAATAGTGAATTCACACCTCCCCCCCACCCCGGGTCTTAACACCCACATCTTCTTGAAATATTAAGGTAAAGGTCACTAGCCGCCTGCCAAGGGCGTTGCACAAAGCATGAACTTTGCATCTTTAGCAACAATCTCTGAGGATCTCCTCACAAAGTGCAGTGAACTGAACAATAAATGCGTCTGTGAAATGAACCCACAACATCTAGAGCGTGAGGTTAAAAGGCCCGACCTCTTCGCCATGGAAACCCACTATCTGAAACATAAACTGTAATGCTGACCTATTAACATGACAGCACTAATCATTTCAAGACAACGTATCAACACAGCCACAAAAACCAACAGTACATCTAAACATGACAGCACTAACCATTTCAAGACAACCTATCACTACAGCCACAAAAATCAACAGTACATCTTAAGATTAAAAAGCAGTACTAACCACTTCAAGACAAGCAGCAGGAACAAAGTGGTTGAACTTGGCCGCCTTCCTCTTCAACTCCTGCTGATCTAGAGTGGCCTGACTGGGAACTCTTGGTAATTTATCATCTGGTATTGTGCCCGATCGATATCCACTGTCAGTCTCATCCTTTTCCTGTCAGAAATCATGTTTTCAACAGTTCTCAAAACAAAAGGAATCACTTAGGTTTTAAATTAACAAAGATACACCACCCCCCCCCCACCCCGCCCCCAACCCATCCGCCAATCAACAGGTTTGTCCTCATTATAATTACAGCCAGTCCTTTAAGAAATGCTGCTCTATCAACAGCTTGCAAGAAAGGACTCTCAATCCTTTACTAGTTCTCTGGCATCACAATACTGAATGTCTTTTTCTTCTACTTCTTCCACACTATTGTGGTTTACAGCTAGTCTGTGATATCTGCACCTTTCAGCTCAACACATTCATTGCAGCAAAATCTTAATTACCCACCTTTCATGACATGTTTGTCAAGGGCAGTGTGTCTATTAGCTCCCCCCCCCCCCCCATCCTCTCCCCCTTTCCTGAGAAACTTTAATGTATAAGATGACCTCATTGAATTTGGCACCATGCAAGTTCTTCAATCCCCTTAATTTTTTTCACTAGCAGGTTAAGCACAGTTAATTAACTCCATAGATTAAATATAAGGTCACAACATCATAAGGTTATTGGTTCCCTATCACATTTATTTCCCCAATAGATCTATGATGTCCTGGCATGAGGCTGGGTCAAATCCTGGGCCTCAAATGTCAAGGTAAAATCTATTAAAATCAGCACCAAAACTGGGTACCGAACCCAAACCTACCACAGTGGAAACCCTACTGCTTAGGTGTTTTAACAAGTTATGGCTGCTATGAGTAGACAACAGTACTGAGCTATATATAACAAGAGTAGACAACAACTACGCAGTACGGAGACAAGCTCAGCAGACAACTCAACAGCTCTGGACTACCAAGAGAAGACAACTCGAAAGTACTATGCCATCTATACCTGCCATCATAGACGCCGAGATTAGAGCCCTGACTGATCAGCATTCACTCCCAGAAGATGTCGTCATTTACACAGATGGGTCCGTGAAGCATGGATCAAGATCAGCATAGACATACACAGCACAAAGGATGGGGAAAACAATAAAAGAGGATAGCGGTGTTTACCAGACAACTATGTCAAGCATGACACTTGACATGGGTAGCAGAACAAGTGGCCACACAAGCAGTAATCGTTTCCGACTCCATGAACATGCTTCAGAAAATTGCTACAGGTAGTCTGCACATCAAATGGGTGGAAAGCATTTGGAAGTCGCAGTTAACCTCCATCATCTGGATCTACACACCTGGGCACGCATGAGTAAATGGTAATGAAAGAGCTGACAAGTTCGAAGGTAATGCGCCGATGCAAATGGAAAGAAGTATGGACAGAGCTGATATCATCAATGCTGTACGGACTAGGTTAGGAGATAATGGCGAATGTCTGATGCTAACACAACTGCGTGATCAAACAGTTAAGTTTGGTGAAGCCTGACTATGCCATCTTCGAGGTAAAGACAGGAGATATTATAACTAGCACCTCATGGGAACAATGAGTAAAGGTTTCATGGAGTGGCTGCTGCATCGGAGAACTGAGCACGCATGGGGATGCCCAATATGCAAAGATGTTGATTGTGTTAACATAACTAGGCCATCAAGAGTAGACAACTCCACAGTACTGGACCATCTAGAGTAGACAAAGATATAACAAGAAGGATTATCTCCCATCACTATTCTCGCTACATGGTCCCCAGTTAATAGTTCCTTTCAAACTTACAGTTGCAGCTTCAGGACTGGTATCTTCAACACGCCTGTGAACGTCTGACAAATCTAATGCAGGAGCTTCCCCTCCAGGTCTATCTCCTCCTTTAGCGTGCTGCGAAAGGATGACGCCTTCATCAACACAATCTGGCTCAGTTGTTGAAGCACCAGGGTACAGCTGTGACCTTCCAGATGTGTTTCCACGTGGGAATGAGTCGAAACGAGAGTTGGAATATGAAGGCTGGCAGGGAAGTGAGGAGGCAGATGGTGCTGCGGAAGAATGTCTAGCAGAATCTTGGGTTATACCAGAGTGTTGTATAGGATACGAATGAGGTGTAACAATGTCTTCACTAATAGACCATGAACGATGGTGGAGGAGTATGTTCGGTGGTCTGGGAGTATCCATATGCCCCCTCCCCTGTGCAAGATACTGGAAATTAGGGGTCGATTCCGACGTCCGGGCAGCTCCTGAAGCTGGTGTGTCTGCTGGGCTGGACGACACAATTCTGGCAGCACCAGGACGTGCCTGGATGCCGCCCATAAACAAACAGGCTTCCCCATGAGGTTTTGGGTCCGGAGGGCTGGGAGTTCTGGCAGCAGCGATGTCACATCCATCGCCAGAGACTGACTTGCAGCTGAGGGTGACTTCTGGGACACAATGCTCATGGCAGGTGTACTGACATGCTGTGGAGCAAACAAGAGAACATATCATTAATCACTTACTTGAGTGAGCAGCTTCAACACATCCTCATATACTTGAGTATCTGGAGACTTTTTATGTTGAGAGGAGTGTACTGCAAGGGTCTTGTTGACATAAATAGTCAGATGGGGTGATTAAATTGAGTCAGAAGAAGATACTGTTGAGAAGAGAAGCTAACATCCAGAGGGGTGAGGGGGAGGGGGGAAGGCTTTTGCTAAAGAAGAGAACATGTGACTGTGAGCACACTTCATATTCTGAAATAACCGATTTAATTCCAGGTGCAAGAGATATGGCAACAGAACGTGTTGCACAGATTCTGACAATAGTATGTGCTGCTGACAATTAGAAGCAATGGCAAACTACTAACTGTCACAATGCCTATTAAAATCACAAACAGTTTTTAAACAAATGCTGGGTTGGTTGTGCCATGTTCTGTAAAGGATATGCAGCTGTTTTTGTTTCAAAAAGAGTGGACTGATCGTGATCTTTGCCATGCAGAAGCTGAAGGTGACTACAAACTGTGCAGGCTGCAAGAAAGTCACAGCCTTTCCCCATGACAATAGTAGCATGTGTGTTTTGTAAGCCTGGTTGGACAGCCCATGAGTAAGCTGCTCAGCATGGTCAATTGTCTTCCGGCATGAAACACAGACATCTTCAGTGCTTGATTCACTCAACTGCTTGCATCAAGGCAGGCCTCTCAAACAGAACCTACTCTGTTTATGCTTCTATATCTGAACAGTCCAGGTATCACAATGGGACATGAGTACATCAGTGGCTGCCAATTATGGAAGCCTCCAACCCTGAAATCTTGTCAGAACATAAGCCAGGGCCCTAGAGAGAAGGGGCAAGAAAACCCAACTACTAAAGTAAAACAGAGACAGCGAAATATACCCCCCCCCCCCCCCACCTAATTATTTAGAAACAGTACTATAACGGAAAGTGTAATGTGGGTCAGTAAGGGAGGATACACAATGATACAAGTGAGAAGATATTGTCAACAGACGGAAGAATAGAATTCTGTCACAAAATGTAGAACCACTACAAGAAACAAGACGTTGGAGGTTCACTGTGGAGACGGCACCGGATTATTCCAGAAATGATTGTCCCGGTGGTGATGGACTGGGTGGAAAGAATAGGCTTCAAGAGCACCTACAGCTGGGACACCCTAGAATGCTATAAATGAAGACAGGGAATATACTGGGGACATAAAATGGCAACCTGGTTGATGGGGTTCGGGGGGAGGGGGGTCGAGAGGGGGTGTCAGTTCTTGATGAGTTTTCTCAATATGCAGTTTTGAAGCTTGCGTAACAGAGGAAGAAAGAGAGAAAGACAGATATACAAATGGAGAGAACTGGTTGTAATGAATGCAAACAAAAACCCTTTTAATACAGAGCAAATCACCGGGCCACAGGGGCAATCAGCATCCTCATCTACTCCTGCTGGGCGACACTGAGCTCGCGCTAGCTTGTTCGGAGTGCAGTGCCGTCGATTCGCCAGTTTAGTATATCTTAGCGAACTGTCAGGGGCCGCCGCCACGGAGTAGCGGCTAGACGCTCGCCTGCTGGTCCGAAAGTCGTGGGTTCAGGTCCAGAAAGAGAGCCGGACCTAGGCTCCCAGGTCAACTAGCCTTAACCTAGATCAAGTCGTGGGAAGTAAAAGACGGCCCAAGTGATGCTGACCACAGCACCCACCAGGTGTCAACTGGTCTATAAAATATAAATCCAGCCCCATGTGCCCAACAAGCCTGAAGGCGTGGGAAAAGGGTGCTTCACTTGTTATAGAACTCTCGCGACGTCCGCCCGTTCGTTGCGTAAAGCTTATAACTGGCAACCGATTTGGTTCTGTAACTCATATTTTTACGCAAACCATAATCCACCGTCTATAAGTATATTTTATCTGTGGATTCTGGTCTCCACGGAGACGACCTTGTTTGTGTTTACAGGTTCACACGTCTATATCACAACAAACATTAATTTTAAAGTCTCAAATAGCTTATCTCCCTTTGAAATAACATCTCTTCGATAGGTTCTGACAAACCACATTTTAAAACAGATTCCTACATTGATTTTCGTTTACCAGCCCCATACCCTAATTCTCTTTTAACGAAAGAAATACGCAGCTTCGCTCCGCACCCCCACCACTACCCCCCCCCGCCCTTCCTGGAAATTTACCTGCTGTGATCCAGCCGACCAATGTTACAGGTAAAAATGTTTTAATTCAGTAGTCACTACGAGTAAGTAACATAACAGATGATACAGGTAGACATGTTTCAAATATTGTACTGGATCCCAGTATAACTATGCTATACGACTGAAAGGTTGAACCGGTTTCCGGGATCGGTACTTGTTTGATTCTCATCCTTGACATGTGAATTCCACAGACCGCAATTCTGGAGGGGACAACCTTACAACAGTTTTATTTTTGTCATGATAATGATTCCCCCATCCTGATATATTTGATTCAGCGCCTCAACTTATTCCAATTGTACCCGAGGCTACTACTACTGCCCCTGGGTCGGTACAACGCACTCCCACCCCTAGCTACACGCGAGGCTGCTATCACCTCCAGCCCGTGACAATTTAGTCCCCTTGGTAAAACTAAGCTCTCAAACATCCTTGGTAGGTTCTGTTTCTTCTGCAACATCACACACTTGAGTATCAAAGCCCACGGTCGCGCAGAATAGGGTCAGAGGCTCTTCTCCCTATCAAAAAGCCTGGCCAGTACTGTACAAACCACATTTTATTTGTGCAGCCTGATACTTCTATTGGCCTGCTTTGTTGACTTCAAGGGGAAAGGTAACAACAATATCCTGTGGAAGATTAGGGGTATACTGCAGGAACAGAAAAGCAGTACAATGCCTGTCGGAGCTTACCTGCTAAACCAGCTGGCAACTAAGGCTAAGAACCAGGTGAGGCCTGATAAAAATCTGGAATTAGGCTATATATGCCTTAATCTAAATCATGTGTTGCAACATTTCCAACGAACAGCAACAGCAATTCAGGTCACAAAACAAGCTGGTTGAAGTATTTAAAGGCTTTGATGCTGAGATTCGCAGACTCACAAAATATGTTAAGAAAGGCGGAGACAGGCATGCACGGTGCAGAGTGGCAAGCATCACTAAAAAGGTCCCGGACTGTTAGCTTTCTTGCAGGGGTGTAAAGAAATAATATATACTGGCCGTTTGGTTCCGCACTACTGGGTGGTGAAATTGATGCACAAATAGCGTGTTTATAGTCAAGGCCTTTAGGGGGTAAATGAACAATACGGAGGCGCGAACACATATAATTACGACGTGGAAAGAATGGTGTACAGCTAGGAGTGACCAGGGGATCGGGTCGACACTCTGTACTCACAGGACAGCTAGGGGTGATCGGAAGAATCTGGTCGACACTCTGTACTCACAGGACAGCTAGGAGTGATCGGGTCGACACTCTGTACTCACAGGACAGCTAGGAGTGATCGGGTCGACACTCTGTACTCACAGGACAGCTAGGAGTGATCGGGTCGACACTCTGTACTCACAGGACAGCTAGGAGTGATCGGGTCGACACTCTGTACTCACAGGACAGCTAGGAGTGATCGGGTCGACACTCTGTACTCACAGGACAGCTAGGAGTAACCTGGGGATCGGGTCGACACACTGTGCTCAGGAAAAAGGCGAAACGGGCATACCATCAAAAATCTACTAGCACCACGGAACCGGAACTCTTCGCGGCTGCTGAAGATGAAGACGGAGCGCTTATAGGAATGTCCCGAGTGCTATGATGTCAATTCTTGGCTCAACACCCCCTTTTGAGATTCCACTAATCTACGACTTTCAATTATAATCTCCGTGGGGTCTGTGTTGTAGAGTTCTCCTTTCCTCTCCAGGCTCAGTAACAGACGGGCACTGCAAGACCACTGCTGAACCTTCTAACTGCTGAGAGGCTACTGGCACATAGAAGAAAGCGAAGCAAAAGAAAGGCGATCAGGAAGAAACGCGGTGATAGCAGGAGATAAACAAAGAAAGTATAGAGAAATCAACAACAAAATACACTGCCCGAAAGAAAGGAAGGAAGAATAAAAAACCTGACCAGAGCAAAGAAAGGAATAGAGAGCACTAAAGAAAAGGACGACACAAAAAAGAAAAGAAAGGAAAAAGAACGAAAGAAAGAAAGTAAAGCAAAGAAAGAAGAAAAAAGAAAAGAAAAGAAAAAAGAAGAAAATGAAGACGGAAAGAAAGAGAAAGAAAAAGAAAAGAAAGAAAGAAGAAGAAAGAAAGAAAGAAAGAAAGAAAGAAAGAAAGAACAAAAGAAAGAAAGAAAGAATAAGGGAAAGAAAGAAAAGAAGAAAGAAAGAAAGAAAAGAAAAAAGAAAGAAAGAAAGAAAGAAAGAAAGAAAAGAGAAAAGAAAAGAAAAGAAAGAAGAAAAGAAAGAAAGACCAAAAAAAGAGAGGAAAGAAAGAAAGAAAGACAAGAACAAACGTAATAAAGAAAAGAAACAAAAAAGAAAGAAAGAAAGACCCAATGCAGAGACGCGCATACAGACAGACACACTTACGCATGCATGCTTCATGCAGACATACAAGACTGACCGATAGGCTGATAGGCAGACGGGTGGCACATACAAAGAAGTTATTTTTCAAAGCCTGGTACGAACGAACAAACGAACGAACGAACTTTATTTTCAAAGGGTCACAAATTGGGCACGCAGGCCCGTCTTACATTCGGCCCTTCCATTCAACCATCTTTCAACACATATGAAGCGCGCACAGGCATACACGTATTGCATCTGGAGCTTAGCAAACAGTTCATATGTGCACTCAACTGCAATCATCTACAGACAGGCACCTTGGTCTAGTGTTACTGGTGGCTGGACAGGTTTCGGCACCTCAAGATATGGGGGAAAGAGGTTGCCACTGAGTCTAACAGCTTTCAGCAAATCTGTTAACAGTATAACTATATGGATTCTCTCTTCTCTCTCTTTCTCACTCTCTCTCTCTCTCGCTCGCTATCTCTCTCTTATCATGTGTATTTATGTATGTATATGTAGGTTTGTAAGTATATGGGTGTATGTGTGTGTATTTATGTGTGTATGCAAGTATGTATGTATGTATATGTGTAAGTATGTGGGTGTATGTGTTTGTATATATTTTTTATGTATGTGGGTGTATGCGTGAATGTATGTGTGTGTATGTATGTATTTATGTGGGTTTAGGTATGTGTGTATATAAGTATGTGGGTGTATGTATGTATATATGTGGGTATATGTATAAGGGTGTATGTATGATTGTATGTGAGTGGGTGTGTGTGTAATTATGTATTAAAGTATCTATATATGTAATGAAGTATGTGTGTATGCATGCATGTATAGGTATGTATGTATGTGTGTATGCATGTATATGTATGCATGCATATGTATGTATGTATGTATGTATGTATGTATGTATGTATGTATGTATGTATGTATGTATGTATGTGTGTATATAAGTATGTGGGTGTATGTATGTATATATGTGGGTATATGTATAAGGGTGTATGTATGATTGTATGTGAGTGGGTGTGTGTGTAATTATGTATTAAAGTATCTATATATGTAATGAAGTATGTGTATGCATGCATGTATAGGTATGTATGTATGTTGTGTATGCATGTATATATGTATGTATGTATGTATGTATGTATGTATGTATGTATGTATGTATGTATGTATGTATGTATGTATGTATGTATGTATGTATGTATGTATGTATGTATGTATGTATGTATGTATGTATGTATGTATGTATGTATGTATGTATGTATGTATGTATGTATGTATGTATGTATGTATGTATGTATGTATGTATGTATGTATGTATGTATGTATGTATGTATGTATATGTATGTATGTATGTATGTATGTATGTATGTATGTATGTATGTATTTATGTTAGTATGTATGTATGTATGTATGTATGTATGTAGTATGTATGTATGTATGTATGTATGTATGTATGTATGTGTATGTATGTGTGTGGTGTGTGTGTGTGTGTATGTATGTATGTATGTATGTATGTATGTATGTATGTGTTATGTATGTATGTATGTATGTATGTATGTATGTATGTCTTACTAAACAAGCGGAACAGCGCATAAATGCATTTGAATATAAATGTTACAGACAGGTTCTAAGAATATCTTGGGTAAAGAAAAGAACAAATGCATGCATCCATAGTTCAAGAGCTGAATATTGAAGAGGGTTGGCTAGTAAAGACAATAAAACAAAGAAAATTGAAATATTTTGGTCACTTGAAACGTCATGGAAGTCTAGAGAGAACAATAATGGAGGGGTATATGCCTGGGAAGAGAGGAAGAGGAAGGCCCAAGGAGAAGATGGTGTGCAGGATGTGGCAGATGATCTCCAAATGGGTGTATCAGGACGCAGGACATCTTGCTCAGGATAGGAAGGTTTTCCGGAGGGTTGTTATGGCAGCGAGGTTCCGCGAGGGACATGCTACTGAATGAATGAATGTATGTATGTATGTATGTATGTGTGTGTGTGTGTGTGTGTGTGTGTGTGTGTGTGTGTGTGTGTGTGTGTGTGTGTGTGTGTGTGTGTGTGTGTGTGTGTGTATGTATGTATGTATGTATGTATGTATGTATGTATGTATGTATGCGTATGTATGTGCGCATGTATGTGCGTATGTATGTGTGTGTTATGTATGTGTGTGTATGTGTGTGTGTATGTATGTGTGTGTGTATGTATGTATGTGTGTATGTGTATGTATGTGTGTGTGTATGTATGTGTGTGTGTATGTATGTGTGTATGTGTATGTATATGTGTGTGTGTATGTATGTGTGTGTATGTAATGTATGTATGTATGTATGTATGTATGTATGTATGTATGTAGTATGTGATATGTATGTATGTATGTATGTGTGTATGTATGTATGTATGTATGTATGTATTATTCATGTATGTATTATGCATGTCTGTATATGAGTGTGTATGTGTACGTGTGTGCGCGTTTGAGTGTGTATGATTGTGTATACATAATGTTTGTATGCATTATTCTATAATGTATATATTTTTTAATAAACATAACATGCATTATTTATATCAGGCAATGGTGCTCTGAAAGATGAGTGCTTAGAAGGTCTATGTGTCAGACGGGCCTGCGTGCCTAGTTTGTAACCCTTTGAAAATAAAGTTCGTTCGTTCGTTCGTGTTGTGTGTATGTGTGTGTCCACGTCTCTCTGTGTATCCCTGTCTGTTTATATCTCTCTCACTCACCACTGTCAGGACTGACTAGTTTTAGGAATCCTTAAAAGAATAAAGAACATCCACCCCCCTCCCCCCACCACTTTTACCTAAACAGGACCTAAAACAAAAACTTCGACACGTCAAAAACTAGAGAGGGGAGGGGAACACATGGGTACAAACGATTACTGACACCAAATCTTTCAACACGATATTGCTAGAACTGACATATAAATAACGCAGAACTGACATATAAACATCATAATTACAGCCAAACAACATCAACACATGTCGGTGGGCGGAAATAACAGACTCTCAGTCGTACCAAGATAAACAAACCAGACTTGCAGGGATCCTCTTGTTAGCTACTCCTGGAATGCCTCGCAGCGTCAGGACAGGGGATCTCTAGAACGGCACCTTTTGTTTTCGTATCTAGTAATTTTCAGTCTCGGATATTTGCCCCCGGTCGATATTCTGCGTAGTCGACCTCTGGCTCTGCTACCCATCTGTATAACACTACTCTCTGTGGTGCCCTCTGCGTTGTCAATCTTCTAATGTCTAACCCAGCAACGTGGCGGGAAAGTCTCTCTTCCTGTGGCAGAGCTCCTCCTGCAGACGGAAATCTCCTAGCACGGACCGGTTTACCGCCTTGTTTGTTGACTCGGGTGTTTGGCGCCTGCTGGTGTTAGATTTACCGCTGCTAGTCTTTCTCTCTGACACTGCTATTACACCATGCGTTGATTACGCGTAGAAACAATATTACATTTCACACGGTTCAAGCACAACACAAAATGTTTGATTACATTCATCAACACAAGTGTCAAAGGGGCGCCGGTAGCTGAGGGCTCAGACATCTTGAGGGTGGCCCATTCCAGCAGCTTCGACCTTTCCGTACTTCACAAAGAGGATGCCCCTATGCAAGACAGGGTCTCCTCGACCTACGACTGCTTTCCGTTCCGACTAACTAGCTGGTCGTAAGACAATTTATATTTTCAATACTATGTTCATTCAAAAAAGGTTACAAGAATTGTATACAAAACTCAATAATGCAATCTATGTATGATGTATGCATAATCTTGGTTTAAAAATATATATATATATAATCTCTATCGTATCAGTTTCACCCTATCAGTATAGTTATCTTTAATTACTATTTTCATTGTGCGAGCGTGTGTGTGGTCGTAAGTCGAGGAAAATGTCTGCATTATTTACGCTTCGATGTAAAAAGGTATAGACACACGAAAGTCCCAGGGGCGGCACATGATGGTGGCTTGCATTGGCCCAAACATAATGTATGGAAACACTTAAGTCCCAGGGGCGGCACATGATAGTGGCTTGCAATGCAAACAGAGAATCTTTAGTGTGAAGAAGGTGCATACTTTGATGTGGTTACATACTAAATAAAATGTAATCCAACCTGAGATACGGTTAGCTGCATGAGTTAAGATAGAGCTAAAAAATCTACTTGTAAACGGTTACATTATGCACCATTCACTTGCCGGCTTGGACAGCAGGCTCCATAATTATAACTTCTTAGAAAATTGAGCGGGGTATCTAGGATTTGGCCTGTTGGATTGTCACCCAGGTTGCGGCTCTTTAAGTTTCAGAGGTGGTCAAACTTTCAGGTAGCGGCAATACTTTATACATACATCAGAATGGAAACTAAAATCTTACCAGGTGCAGAACGAGGTCTCTTGTCCCTCCGTCGAGCCCACTCCTGAGCGGTCGCATAGTTACTGAAATGATCTCTGGTTACTGAGATGCCCCTTTGGGTTACTGAACGTTCGAAGATGTAATCCGATAAACTAGAGTCACAGCTGGGCACAGGCTGGTCTGAGAGACCAAGAGAGACACGATGGTCAATAACCGCACACTCAAGCCTATCGATGAGATGAGACAAGTTCGACTTGGCCGTTGAGTATCCCCAGCTGAGGTCAGAGGTTGCGGTGTGGTAGTTTTCGGAATCGGCGTCTGACAAATGGGAACAAGAGGCCGAGGAAGGGCTGAGTGACAGCGAGTCGTCGAGGCCATCATCAGCAAAATGCTCAGTGTTTCTACGAGACATTCTTTGTCGTAGCGAGTCTGTCAGAGGCCACCCACTTCTGCGGAACCTTTTGTGGTGGTTTAAACTGTCCAGTGAGTTTGTGTGAAGTCGAGCATCCGTTAGGGGTGAGCCACTTCCAAGTTCCATCAACGAGAAGCTTCGAACACGAGAAGGTAGCGACGGCGGGCTGCTTACTTGTGGTGTATCACCAGCTTCTTCGATGAAGAGGTCAGACTGGCAGTAACAAGAGCTGGAACAATCATGGCACGGACTTGACGACCGACTAGGATATTCTGAACCTGCTGACGACTGCCCACTAGAAGTATTGTCCAAGCGGTCTACAAACGGAAACTTGTCTTGAGTAAGAGTGACTGAGGTCTGGTGCGAAAGGTCAGGACCAGACGTCAGCATACCCTGGACCCGCTGTGAAAGGGGCTGGATGTAAGGGATGTCGGTTGATTTCGAAAGTGGGATTTCGTGATCAGAAATAAGCTCTGGAGACAAAATCGGTTTACGGAATCGCCTAAGATCTGACACAGAGTAAGCTTTGTGCTGGTCCTTCGTCCGCTTGTCGTCTGCTGACATTTCTCCGACTGAAAGCCTATGTCGAAAGGTGAGTTTATCTGTCACTGAATCCTCCGAAATACAACTACTTCGTCTGATTTTCCTCAACATCTTCGTCCAGTCCTTCGCAGAACACAAAAACGATCTGTAGGAATCAACGTTATCCTGAGAACAGACGCCGTTTTTCGTGTAAGATCTTACGTCTTTGTCGCACAAAAAGTCTAGGTCACCGATTACGTCACGACTTGAGCCGTCATGACAACTCTCCAAAAAATATGATCGCCGACCAGATCGAAATTTCTCAAACTCATTCTCAAACTCCAAAAAGGACTCGTCGTTGTCGAAAAAGTCCGCAAATATGTCACCAACAAGACTGGGCTGTTGGACATCCTTCACGGAATGGTCATCAGCTGCACTGTCTAGTTTAGTGCGGGGTCCAGAGTTCACACTAGACGCTATCACGTATAATGTGTCTATGTGTGACGAAATTATGTCTTGGTTTGATAAATGACAGGTGTCTATGTCCCGGGAGATTCGACGATTCCTAACGGCCTCAAAAACCTGCTCGAACTCCAGAAAGTGCTCGTCCTCGTTGAGAAACTCCATAAGAATATCACTGATACTCAGTTCCACATCCTCACTTCGGTCGCTAGCTGCCCTGCCGATATGGCTTGTACGGCATACTGATCCAGGCCGCACCGTTGTCAATGTCTTGATGGGCGCCTGCTGTGAACCATCGTTCGGGGATGCCCCGTGTTTTGTGTGAAATGGCGGACCTGCCTTGGTTAAACCAACTTGTACAACAGTTGGCAGCATCCCTGGCATTCCCGGAACACGATTACACTGTTTGGCACGTCGGCCGGCGTAGCCTCGTCTACTCCTGCACACATAGTTGGGCTTGCAGATAAACTGAAGCTCCGTCAAATCGATCAACTCGCCCCTGCAATCATCACTACCATCAACAAATCTACAACAACATTCACTCTTAAGTCTTTGAAAATCCTTCAGGTCCTGTTTGAATTCCTCAAAATCTTGTTCATCCGTGAACCCGTGGAGAATACAACTGTATTCTGAGGTTGGCAGGTCAGAGAACTTGAGGCTGAAGATGTCGTGTGCAGTGTCTTGGGGAGAACACACGTGAAAGTCTCCTACACCTCTGGTGTAGTAGCCGCTGTCATCCATGCTCACTTGTGCTCCTCATAAGTACCATCTCGGTTCATGCAAACACCTTGACTAAAATATAAGAATGGCCACATTCAAACAGAATATCCTGACTAAACTCGAAGCACAATTTCTTGCTAAACACCTTTTAAGACGCGGTTTAGAAACAAGAAACACGATACCGCGTTAATATGTCCACCTTTACTAAGGAAAAACATGACCACAACTAGTACCGACATCGTTACTAAACTTCAAACACGAGTTTTCTTTAATAAACATTCGTTTACTAACGTGTCAAAGCGATTTTTCACAAAAACAGATTTTCTTAATAATGCAGGAACGCGCTTGCCGTTAGAATTGGTCATATCCTCACAAAATAAAATATCATCTCTCGCTAAAACAAAAACAAACATGAGAAAGGGGAGGGAACCTTTCTGTAAAAATCTTATTATATTACACAGTAGCGGAATTTATTAACAAAATGTTTTTTTTTCCCTTAATGTAAAAAGCTGTCTCAATGTAAACACGCCATTGGGTGTGTGCTGTGTTAGATCTACACGTATTCCAGCAACTGTAATAAACTGCCCAGCAGTCAGTTACCCGCATCTGATTTTTCTTTCAACAGCAATTGCCAGACAAATCTAACAAGTAGTTGCAACTCATTTTAAGAAGGCCGTTGTGTAGTGGCAAGACGCTCGCCTGCGGATACGAAGGTCACAGGTTCGAGTCCGAATGGAACAGAACTTTTTGTTTATTCCTTTGAAAAAAATGGCTTGACTCCCAGGTCGACTCAGCCTTGAGGGGGTACCACAGGAAGTCATGACCACATGACCACCGTGTGCCCGACTGACCTATATAAGTTAGATCTAGCACAATATGCCCAATATGCTTGAACGTGTGGGAGAGAGGCCTTTACTTACTAACTTCACTTTACTTATTCATGCACAGACGTCGGACCTACCAAACAGAAAGAAGACACAAATGTCGGAATTAACAAACAGAAGGAAGACACAAATGTCGGAATTAACAAACAGAAGGAAGACACAAATGTCGGAATTAACAAACAGAAGGAAGACACAAATGTCGGAACTACCAAACAGAAGGAAGACACAAATGTCGGAACTACCAAACAGAAGGAAGACACAAATGTCGGAACTACCAAACAGAAGGAAGACACAAATGTCGGAACTACCAAACAGAAGGAAGACACAAATGTGCCCTTATTCATGTACAAACGTCGGACCTACCAAACAGAAGGAAGACACAAATGTCGGAACTACCAAACAGAAGGAAGACACAAATGTCGGTACTACCAAACAGAAGGTAAACACAAATGTGCCCTTATTCATGCACAAATTTCAGAACTACCAAACTGAAGGAAGACACAAATGTAGCTCTATTCATGCACAAATTTCGGAACTACAAAACAGAAGGAAGACACAAAAGTAGCTCTATCCACGCACAAACGACGGAACTACAAAACAGAACGAAGTCACAAATGTAGCCCTATTCACGCACAAACGTCGGAACTACCAGACAGAAGGAAGACACAAATATAGCTCTATTCATGCACAAATGACGGAACTACCAAACAGAAGGAAGACACAAATGTAGCCCTATTCACGTAAAAACATCGGAATTACCAAACAGAAGGAAGTCACAAATGTAGCCTTATTTCCACCACACAAACGCCTGAACTACCGAACAGAATGAAGTCACAAATGTTGCCCTATTCCCGCACAAAGGTCGGAACTACCAAACGTATACACCTATCTACCCAACACTTCAGTTTGCAAAGTTAAGCAGGAAGCAGACAGCGTAGTTATTTCTCGTACCCAAAACAAACCACAACTTACATTATCACACCACGGCGGCACCAGCCTACACCGGAATAAACTCCAGACCAGTTGCCTACTGCATCACATCGGATTCTGTCATGAACAACATCTCTCCCGAGTCATCCAGGAAATGCAATGCCGGCCAGCTCAGCTTTCACATACTCACGTGTGTCTACACGAATACGCCAACTGGCAACTTTCTCAGGTAGACTGCATGAAATGTGCATACAGTGAGCAAGGTTAAACAACTCACACATCAACGCCTGGCAACACACCAAAAGGTATATCAAATACATCTACCTGATGTTTATGAGGCGTCAGGACTAGGCTGCTGCGAAATGAACTTAGTCGTAAAGTCAGTTCACAAAGTTGTGAGCTCAAACTTTAACAACTATGTCGAAACCTTCTGTACGGATTGTACGGATCAACACAAATTTCTGCATATGGTCTGGGATTTCCCATGTCCATATGATCTCTTAATTTACAACTGCACAGTTGCTGATATTTTCTTACAGCAGCGAATTTCTCTGATCTTTTTTGGACTAATAATTTGTACGGCTATTATTTCGAATCCTGTACTGGTTTTGAGCCAATCAACAAGCATTATGGCAGTAAATAACGTATCCATTTTACTATTCTAATAAGCATGCCTTAGTTTTTCACACAGACTACCTCTAAAACGCGTGCAGTTTAAAGTTATGCTACCTTCGCGTCAAGCAATTTACTGTAAATACGCTAACAGTTTGTATGCTTTAAATCTGTCTTTTTTTCTTTTTCATATACCACAAATAAGCCACCACCCCCTATTCCAACCCCGTTAATAAATCAGAAGTTTGTTAACATTACAATCATTTTCTTGCAAGGACATGATTATTAACAGGTTACCTGCAGATCTCAACATGTTACATCAAACGATTACTGAGCTGCAGATTTGTAAAGTTGGGCATGACTTTAGAGACGGACTATAGTCAGGCTGGTTGAGCGGAGGCAGGGGACCACACTCCCGGGCAAACCTAGCAGACGACAGCAACAGACCTGAGTTATTTAGCACTTCACTTGTCCCTGGCCAGGAAATTACATACACCCTGACTTCCCAACATCAAGGCAACCAAGGATAAAATAATGCTACCCGAGCTAGGAGGATTCCATTTTCAATTATCTACCTTCGTTTCTCCTATTTTACACGTTTCTCCAATTTTACAAAGGAACGTGCGCGCGCATATGAATACAAACTTACAGAAAACACTTACATACATAGACATACAAATATCAACACCCACTTACATACAGAAATGCGGGAAGGGAGCTGGGGAGGGGGTTATGTCCCCAAAAGGCGTGGCCCCCCCCCCCCCCCACGGTTACTTAGAAAGACATGTCGACTATGCGCCAAAATATGTATAACAACTCTCTTAAGTATTTGTTGATACCTAGCATTTGCTTACGTACTGTTATATTTATCCGCCACTCAACATAATATATCCAGCTAGACGCTCGCCTACGGGCTCGAAGTTCGTGGGTTCAAATCTGCAGAGAGCGGATATTTTTTTAATTACCTTGGCTACCAACAAGACTCAGCGAAAAATGGGTACCAAGTAAATTCCTGAGGAGTAAAGGCGGCCGGCGTGATGTTGATCTTAACGCGTGCCGATTGGTCTAGCACTATACACTCGGTATGCCTAAAGAGGCAAACAAGAGTTGGTTTTTATCACTGTTTTTATTATTATTATGCATTTACACGAGGTATATGCCCCTTGAGGGACCCACCCCTGCAGAAAATCTATAAGGGGACTGAAAAATGAAAATAATCATAACAACAGAGATAAGAACCAAAATAATAAACAATGTAGCGAGAAAATGTTATGAGAAAAATGGCAAATAAAATAAAGGGAAAGAACAGACAATAAAAGACAGATATACGGGCCATTTCGAACTTTGATGCAAAACCCATAAACAGACGAGGACAAGTAAGACGGTGCAACATAGAGCAGCAGACGATAAAATGTGTATAACTATATAGTTCCAGCAACTAAGAAGGCAAGGCATGAACAGACACTGCGGCCAGGTGAAACGGGAATGGACTAAAACAAGATGATGATGCTTTTTCTGCGTTCGCCTTTAAGGGGTGGTTGTCCAGCTAGGTTGTGGTTTACAGCAAGGCTGCAATATCAGCGCCTTTCGGTCCAACATATCTGAGTTCGACAACCCCTTATTTAGTGATTGCTTTTGGGTAAGTGGATGCAACAACCCAACAAGTAATTAATGACTAACTGTGCAAACAGTACGACAAATACTGAAGAAAGAAAGAAAGAAAGAAAGAAAGAAAGAAAGAAAGAAAGAAAGAAAGAAAGAAAGAAAGAAAGAAAGAAAGAAAGAAAGAAAGAAAGAAAGAAAGAAAGAAAGAAAGAAAGAAAAAGAAAGAAAGAAAGAAAGAAAGAAAGAAAGAAAGAAAAGAAAGAAAGAAAAAGAAAGAAAGAAAAAAGAAAGAAAAAAAAGAAAGAAAAAAAAAAGAAAGAAAAAAAAAAGAAAGAAAAGAAAGAAAGAAAGAAAGAAAGAAAGAAAGAAAGAAAGAAAGAAAGAAAGAAAGAAAGAAAGAAAGAAAGAAAGAAA